TTGATTCCAGTGAGGGATCTCCATTTTGAGATTCATCATTTATGGACTGCTTACCTGTGTCCTCTTCCTTATCTTCAATTTTAGCACCTTCATGTACCTGCATGATAGGGGTAAAAGCTCAACAACAGATATAATGGTTTCCCTTTCCCTTCTTTTTTTTAAAAAAGTGGGATTAAGTGTTAATGATCTTCCTCAACCAGACCTCCTCAGTATCTTCCTTCTTTGTATTAACTTCCATGTCCTTCATCACATCTTCATATTCTGTTTTTTCTTGTGAGTCCAGTTTGTATGCCTTTGTGAATGCTTCTACCACCATTTCACCCGCTTTTATCTCCTGTTCAGAGATTACACTTTCCTTGCTTGCATCAGATGTCTCAGTGTCTGGTTTTAAATCCTACAATGTGGATATGATTACATCGTCATTAAATTATCTCTTGCATTAAGAAATGTCATAATTTTCGTAATGGGAACTTGGACATCAAGACATGCTAGAAAATTAGGATTTAATTCTTTTTTTACCTCCTTTGTTGTGTCCTTTTCTTCAATGCTCTTGTTATCAATTGCCTCTGTAACTTTCTCTTCATCTCCTAGAGTTTTTTGCGGGTTCTGAACAACTCCTTCCAGGAGAGTTGGAATTTTATCAGCTTCTGAAGGCATTCTTTCAGTTTCCTCAGATGTCAGATGCAATGAATGCTCAAGATTCTTCCCTTGTTCACTCTTCTGCAAGATCTTTGAATCTTCTTCATTCTCCAATATTTTCGTTTCATTTTGTCCTTCCGTCTCACCTTGCTTGATGTCATTGCTACTTCCTTCAGCTAGTATGACAAAAGATTTCTCCTCCTTGCCTTTCTCCTCTGGCAAAGCTTCTGTTGTATCAGCACTCTTGTACTCAATTTGCAATATATCTTCTTGTCTCACTGTTGAAGTGTCAAGTGTTTCCTGTGGACTTTCAGCTATATGACTTGTCTCACCAGCAATGCTTTCTTCTGCTGCTGCCTCAGACTTCTCAAGTTTCTGCAGGAACATGGTCAAGTTGCATTGTAAAACTATGCGGAAATGATTAATGGTTGAAAAACGAAGTTTGCAATAACATGCACAGTAAAGCTAACCTCTCCTTCAAACTTGTCAGCATCTTTTTCATCAACTTGAAAGCTCTGGTCTAGAACTTGTTCAGCAGATTCAGGTCTGAGATCCTTGTATTGTCCATCTTTAGTGACACGTTCTGTATCATCCCCTTGCTCTGATTTTTCTGCCTTGTTCTTATCATCTCTACACCTCTCAAATCTTTCTTCCTCCGTCAGTTTTGGCAAGGGAAGCAAATTATCATCTTTTATGATTTCTTTGGTG